TACAACAGCCTTGGGGAAATCAGTGATTTGGGACTCTTGGGACCCTCTTGGGAGGACTCGTGGAGGCCTCGTTGGGCGTCTCGGAGGCCGCTTGGGCCGTCTGGGGTCCATCTTGAGCGGCTCGGAGCGATCCTTGGGCGACTCGGCGTCCTCTTGGACCATCTTGGGGGCGAAGGACACATATATATATAGCCACCAGCAAACAATCAAGCACACATACACTCATACATACATCCACACCAGCGTCCATATATACACGCATGCACACATCCATACGTCGATACGGACGTACATGCATGCGTACACATGAATGCATACATCCATACACGCATACATGCGTACATGTGTACGTACGTACATATATATATAGAGAGAGAGATATGTATACATGCATGATTGCACATGGTGTTACTTGCATGCATACATACATACATGCATGCATGCATGCATGCTTGCATGCATGCATGCATGCAGGCATGCAGACATACTGACATGCATCCATCTAGGCTTACATACATACACGCATACGTGCGTACGTTCATACATACACCCATGCATTCACACATACATGCATATATACATACATTCACACATACTTCCATACATACATGCACGCACGCATGCATGCATGCATGCATACATGCATGCATATTTACATGCATGCATGAATGTATGTATACATACATACATGCATGCATTCCTGGATGCATGCGTACGTACAGACGCACATTGGCAAGGCTATGCATGCACGTGCTCATACGCATCTGCAAGTGAATTTGAATCCATACACGTACATACGCTCTCTTCTGTGAACTCGCTGGCGCCCAGCGCTCCCGTGCTCGCCGGGCCGCTCGTTGGGGCCCCTGGAGTGGCGAGGCCCCTTGGCGCCGCGCCGCAGGTCGCGTCGGAGTTCGCGAGGGAGGGGGCGCAGCTGATGATCATGCAGGACCCCCCCCTCGCGAACTGATCAGGAGGACTGCCCACTTCCCCCCCTTCTTCGGGATGCAGCTCGTGGGAGGTTACGCTCAGAATTGGTGCTGGTAGATCCCCGGTCGAGAACTGGCCTGATCTGGCCTACGTGTCCATTTTTAGTCACGCTGTATCTAGCCTAATCCGGCTTAGTTCTAAGTTTAATCGGCCTAATTTGATTGAGTTGCCTTTTGATGGGTTGAATAGTTCGTAATCGTTCTAGCGAAGACCTCCCAGAAGTTTCCTCGTAACTTTTTCTCTCCAGAGGCGTCCCAGTGGGGTTTCACCGTTCTCCTCCATCCTTCCAGCTTGCCCCTGACGAGGAGCCCGCCCCCCCTTGCTCCATTCTGAGAGCACTTATTGGCATGTACGCTCGTCTCCCCGCGTGCCTGCTGAGCCCTTTCGCACAGCTTTCAGGCTCCCCACATGAGCGACGGACGAAAACGGGGTCGACTGCTCCGACAATGGCGCGTAAGCTTTCCGCGTAAGGCCGCGCGTAAGCGTCCTTTTCTCTACGCGGTGTGCCACGACGGCGGCCCGCGTACGCCGCGCCATAAGGTCGTTATGTCTTCTCGCGTGAGGCCCGTTTCTATTCGTCGCTCACACTGGGTCCGAGCAGATGAGGATCCCCCACTCCCAGAGGCAACTTTAGGAGAGGATAGACTCAGGTGGGGGTGCATCGGCCCCCAATCGCCCACTCGTCGCCGATAGGGACCCGACAGCCCAACTGGGCCGAGCGTGTTTATCCGCTATCAGGGGCACATCGCCGACCAATCCGGGATGTATCGCCAATTCCAGGTCGGTGGTTCCCCTTGTGTGCCAGCCCCCTGTGAAGCTTCGAGTAATTAGGAGGTCGACTACCGAATTGATGTATCCCAAAGTTGCTTGTTTGTCGAATCTGAAAAAGTACGTAGAATGCTCCGTAGATCTACGGAGCATTCTAAGCATGTTCTGTTGATTCGACGAACAAATCGGTTACAGTGAGCGGCTTGAATAAGGAACACTTACTTTTCAAAAGGGGCTCGGTCGTTCCTTAGGCTTCCGTGCGTTATTTACAGTTCCTTATGCGTTATTTTTTTGTTTCGTCGTTCCTTATGCGTTATTCCTTGGGATGAAAAGGGACTTTGTTCCTTATTTATCGTTCCTTAGGTCAGGCCGATGACTTTATGGGATACATGAATTCTGCAGTCGATCTCTTATTCGAATGCCAGCCCTCATCTCCAGGAGTCCCAGATGGGATCGACCCAGGCCCCCTCGCGCTCTGCAAGAATCACGACGTAGGGGAACATTCGGCCTCTGGGGACCTCTCTGGGCCCAACCGTCAAACACAAAAACCCGTTTGTATCGAACTCTTTGTTTTATCTTTTTACGTATTCTTCGTGCGTCGTCGTCGTCGTTTGTTTCGTCGCCCGTTCCTCGAACAGTGCTTGCACTTAGGGGTGGCCTGATCCGGGAACGGTGAGCCTAGCTTAGTGCACCTGGAGGACGAAGTTCGGGCTACGCCCGAAACGCATCGGAGGCACGACGGATTTGACCTTCGGGAGATCGCCTCAGTCTGGGCCAAAGGGGCACCACCGTGCCCGTGCTGGTCCCAAGGATTTCTCAGGCCCGATCTTCGGGGGCCGCAAAACGGGGTGGTGACCACACCGTGCGGTGAGTCGGTGGGGATTCGGGGTCACCGCACGGTCTTGGGACTCGGGTCCCTCTCCGAGGACGTCTCGGGCGACAGGGGCCTCCAGGGACCCAAGACCTTGCGGTGACGGACCGTGCGGTGAGGTCTCTTGGGATTCCGAGGTCACCGCACGGTCTGTCACCACACCGTTTCGGGACTCCAAAGATCTGAATTCCCTCCCTTTTCCACCATCCAAACCCCCACCTGGCGAACAGCATGTAGCATCTGTAAATGGTGATCATCAAAGGACTTCTTAAACATTCAGTCCGTCCGGATCCACTCTATCCCATCAGCACGTGAGGGTCCACTGTCTATTCGTCGAGCAGTTCTTAAATGAGCGACATGGGCAGTTTGCAGTCTGCGCGCAAAGCATGAACGCCGTATGTGTACAGCCAGCTGTAAGCGATGGCCCCACTTGTGTTTTGACAACTTTGATGAGTAATTCCCCCGCGCAGGATGTTGACAGGAGGTGCGAGCCAATTCGCCTCGTCGACTTTGTGATGATCAGGGTTTACGCTGGCAAGGACAAGGGCCAGCATTCTGAGCAAGCCGAGCTGTCACCATGCCACTTGTCCCTTGGTGCTGCAAGGCAGGTTCGCTTACTATTCTCCGTCGGGTGCGTGGCTACAACACGGGAGGGAAGGCGTCCAGCGATCACGACAACATTTGACAACACGACCGCCCGATTGGTAGTGCTTACATCCTCTTCTTGACGCGTTCGCACGCGCACAGACATGGCACATACGTTGCGAGGCACCCACTGACAAATGCAACAATCCGGCGTACGAAGCCTAGGTCACCCTCAGGGTCGAGAAGATGACCGCGCTTCGCGCACAGCGATTTTAGTTGGAGATGCGTTCTTGTCCAAGGTGTTCTCGCGAGGGCGCGAAGATGACCCCGCATCGCAGGGCGTGATGCGCGAAGTTAGGGGATTAGGTACGTTGGGATGCGGAATAGTTGTCGATCGTGCGCCTCGTTGCATGCAGATACGGTATACACAGACATGCAGATACAAGTGGCACGTGAGTGCCCAGGATCATACAAACACACGTGCCGGATATGTGTATGGTGTGCAAGGTGCATGCGTGTGTTATGTGTGTTGTGTGTTGTGTGCGTGTTGTGTGCGTTGTGTGTGCAATGTCTGAGTTAGTGTGGGTTATGTATTCTGCGTGCTATGTGCGTGTTAGGAGTATTGTGTGTGCATACGTGCGTGTGTGTGTGTGTGCTGTTTGGGTTTGGTGCGTTGGGTGTGTGGTGTGTGACTGTGTGTGTTCTCTGTGTGTGTTCTGTGTGTGTGTGTTCTGTGTGTTGTACGCGCGCTGGTGTGTGCGTGTGTTGTGTGTTGTGTGTTGTGTGCTGTGTGCTGTGTGTTGTGTGTTGTGTGTGTGTCTGTGTGTCTCTGTGTGTCTGTCTGTGTGTCTGTGTGTCTGTGTGTCTGTGTGTCTGTGTGTCTGTGTCTGTGTCTGTGTGTTTGAGTCTTTGTCTGTGTCTGTGTCTGTGTGTGCTGCGTGTGTAGCTTCGGCTCGGGTTCTCTTGCCACCGCGCGCGCCGGGGCGGGCGCGCTGCGTCAGGGGGCTGGGACGGGGCCCAGGCGAGGCCGCGACGGCGGCCCACGAAGCGGCTCGGCACCGCCTGCATCGGCTGGCGCGCGGGTAGGCGCGCGTGCTGGTGCGGCTGGGCCAGGCGGCGGCCTGCCACAGCAAAACCACGACAGATGCCCCCCCGCTGGGCGCGCGGGCCGGAGGCGTACAGTGCGGGGCCACGCCGATCCGACCGGCAGGCCCTGGCGGCGCGGCTCGGCGCTGCTCGGCGCGGGGGCGGCTGGGCCGACTGCTGGGGAGGGCCTCGGCGGGCGGTAACAGCCGCCGTCGCGGCGGCAGCAGCAGCAGTCGCGCGGGGGGCAGCGGGAGGGCGGTGCAGCCGAGCGGACCAGCCCCCGCCAGCCCCTGCGGAGGTGCACCTGCGGGGTGGGCGGCGGTGGGGCGTGCCGTGCAGCCTGTCGGGGCTGCGGCCAGCCTGCCCCCCGCTCGGGCGCGCCCTCGGCGCGGGTGGTGCACGCAGGCCGGGTGAGCAGGCCCGTCGCGAGGGCGCCTTGGGCTCGGCCTGCGGCAGGGCCCCAGGGCGGCGCGGCAGCTCCTCTGGCGGCCGCGGACGTGCGCCGGGGTTGCAGGCGGCGGGCCCAGGCGACGCAACGGTGGCCGAACCGGCAGCTGGGGAACCGAGCGCTTGGCAGGCGTGCGCGCTCGAACTGCCGCGGCGGAGTTCGCCGGGCAAGTGGCGCAGTGGGAGGCGCAGGAGGCGGCGCTGGTGGGGGCGGAGCGCGCCGCCCGTCCGCCCGAGCGCGGGCCCGACGTCGGCAGCGGACACTTTGCGCAGCCGTTCCAAAGCGGCCCTGAAGGCGCGCCGGGCCGCCGACGACGCCCGGGAGGTGGCAGAGCAAGCGGCGCAAGCCGCGGCGGACATGCAGGCGCAGGTCGTGCATGCCGAGGCCGAGGAGGCGGCCGCGCAGCAGAATCTGGAACCTGCGCCGGCCGAGGTGGGTGCCAGTGGAGTCGCTGGGCCCGCAGGCCCTGGGCCAGGCGCCCCCACCGCAGGGCCCGGCGCGGCCTTTGCAGCGCTGGCGGCCGCTGCGCCCTCCACCGCGCAGGCTGTAGAGTCTGGTCTGTTGGAGCAGCATGGAGCAGCTTCGCGGGTTGCTGCAGGCAGCGCCAGTTGGCGCAGGGCTTGCTGGGCCTGCCGCTGGCGCGGCGGCGGCGCCCACGAAGCGTGCGGGGGGTGTGCCGAAATGGGAGGTGGAATTGCATGCGGACCCTGCCACTGGTGCTTTCTGTGGAGCTCCCGAAACGTGTGAGAGATCTGCCGAAACAGAGACAGGCGGCGGGCAGACGCAGGGATGGGAGGAAGGAGCAGGGGGGCGATGGGGAGAAGGAGGACGAGGAGGAGGAGGAGGAGGAGGAGGAGCAGGAGGAGGACTGACGAGTGAGGAGTGAAAAACGCGGGCCATTGCGGAGTCAAAACGAGGCTCCCACATTGCAGGATATCTGGTGAGGACACACACGAGAGGGAATCTGCGTTGGCAGCGCGACCGCATCTCGGCATCACGTTGCGTGGACGGCCAGCCAAGGAACACCCTCGTTCAGGCTCACTGGCCGCTTCTCCGCGGCAGTACCCGACAGGGGCGTCCGCCCCCAGTCGGTGTCCCGATCGAAGCTGTAGCCTTGCACGCTCGCGTCGTCAGCACGACAGCGGCGGCTGGTGGTTGGCCGGTTTCGGCCTCAGGGCGCCTTCGCAGGGCCCCAGGGCCGTGGAGCCAGTATCCGGGACGAGAGAACCGGCCCTGGGGAAATGGTCAGGTCTTCTGCGGACCCCACATTCGAAAAGAACAAGACAGGATGCCTGGGGAAACCCACCGTCGGAGGCTGATACATGCATACGTACATGCATGCATGCACGCATGCATACATGTACGTAGACATGTACACATCTACATCTACGGATCCGCCTACACATACAAGCACAACAACCGATACATGCGCATGCACATGTACATACACATATGCATAGGCATAGCCATGTATGTGTGGACGTATGTGTATACATATATATATATATATATGTATATATATATATATATATGCATGTGCGTTACTGAGTGTGTGTATCTGTGTGTATGTGTATATGTCCCTGTGTATGTGTATGTACCTGTAAATGCGTCGTATGCAGATATGTGCTCTGCACGCAGCCCCCCATTGCAGAGGCGATCGGCGCATTGCGTTGTGCTCTGCGTTTTGTTCGAGAGGAGGAGGAGGAGGAAGATTCGAAATCTCTGAAAATCGGCTGGTTTGGGGGATGTATGCGGCGCCGCGGCCGCTCCAGAGCGTTCCGGAACGCTCCGAGAGCGCCCCGGAACGCTCTGGAGCGATTCATCCCGATCCTAGCCCTGTTTTAGTTGGGTTTGTCCACACCCGAGGACTGGAGAGAGGAAGCGTACCTCCACCCCCACCTGGCTCCAAGCAGTGGCGAAGCGTCCTGGCTCGCCTATAGCCCTACCAAACAGCGCTCTAAGAACCCTTGGTGGTTTCCACGAAATGTTCTTGGAACATGTCTGGCGGAGTCTGTCTTGTTTTATCACGTTGGGTTTGTGTTCTAAGAACATGGCTTTTGTTCTTAGAACATCTGTGGGTTCTAAAAACATTTCGTGGTAGGACTATAGGAATGCCGGGACGGTCGGTCCCTGCTCAATGGTTCCCGCTCCTCCCTTGGGGCTGGCTGGAGAGCCTGGGCTCTGGATCACGCGGGCGGCCATGTGTGTTCGTGCTTGTTGGGACGCTGACGCCTCCCTGCCCACTGGCTTCTCTCTATCGGCATGGCAGGCATTATCCGACGCTGTTTTCCCAATCGGTGGCATCCTCATCTTGTTTCTCTTCTTCTTCTTCTTCTTCTTCATCCTCCTTATCTTCATCTCCCTCATCTTCCTCCTCATCCGCCTCCCCGGGTCCAGCTCTGCTCGGTGCAGAAGAGAGGATGCGGGCTCGTATGGTAAAGGTGACGGCCGACAGATGTTCGTGGGGGCAATGTCCGGATGAGCACAGAAGGAGTTACAGTCCAAGGGGGAGGGGAAAAGGAAGGTGGGTAGGGAGAATGATGAAGTCATCATCGTCAACGGCATCGCCTTCGTCATCATTGTAGTGATCGCCAGCATCATTGAGCAGGACGTATGGTTCTGCATGGGAATCTCCAGCTGCATGTCCAAGGCTTTGAGTATGTTGCTGTTGGCTCTTTCTGCAGTGTGCTTGTCATTCGTTTTCCCCATCCCCGTGAAAGGATGACCGCAGAGTTCTGATGGAGACGGCCCAGAGGCAGCGCAGTCCATTCCTTTTACCGATTCTCTCGTTGGCGCAACTTCTCGCCCAGCCCAGCCGTTGGAGGTGTTGCCAGATCGTGCGGAGCAGTAGTCGCAGTGGAGTGGGCTGGTGAGATTTGTTTTTCTCTCTCTCTCTCTCTCTCTCTCTCCCTTCTGATCGATATATGACATAAACATGTAGGCCAGGCCCTTCCCAGGGCGTCCTCCACCTCGATGACATCTGGATTACGCTCCAGGTTCCGCGCTTTCCGACCTCCCGGGGAGCCCCCCAAACGCCCAAGGACAGCCCAAGACGATCACAAGAAGCCCCCAGAACGTAAAAGAACGGCCCAAAACGCTCCCAAGCAACCCAGGATAGCTTTCGGACGGTTCTACAGGCTCCCAGGAGGCTTCCAAGTCAAGCAGTGGCGAAACGACCTGGCGTGCTTATATGTTCTAAGAACTGTTTGTGACTTCCACGAAATGTTCTTAGAACATGTCTGGCTGGGACTGTTTTGTTTTAACGCATCGGGTTTATCTTCTAAGAACATTGCTTGTGTAGAACACTGTTGGGTTCCCAAAAAAGTTCGTGGTAGGCCAATAGGACTGCTGGGACGGTCGGTCCCTGCTCAACCAAGAGACCTCAAGAGAGCTTCGAGAGGCCTCCCGAGAGCGCTCAGAGAACCTAAAATCGTTAATTTGAATTTGTTTGTTTTCAGGGCTTTAGGCCTTCTCACCATTCCATGCTTCCAACGCTCCAACACGGCCGAAGAGGCCCCCAAGACCGCCCCAAGACCGCCCAAGAGGCTCCCAAGACGGCTCCAAGACGGGCCAAGAGGGCCCCAAGATTGCAGGACTTCGGGACTCCCCAGAGGCCCCCAACACACCCCCGATTCCTGAGAGGTCTCCAAAAAAGCCCCGACGAGGCCCCCAAAACAGCCCAAGAAAGCTTCGACTGCCGTCCCGAGAGAGCCCGAAAAGGGTAGAATCGTGAATTTCTTCTGGTTTTTTATATGTTTTTCGCCTTCTCACTCTTTCCCGCCTCAAACGCTCAAAGATCGAGGAACTTATATACAAAAAACAGGAATTCAAGATTTTTTTTTATAGAATTCTTGACGCTTCGCGTATCCCCACCAGCCCATCCTACACCAGGCACTCGAACGAAGAGCGCCGATGATCGGCAGCTGTTCTTCTCCCCCTCTTCCTCCTTCTCCTCCGCCTTCTTCCTCCTCCTCCTCTCCTCCTCCCTCTCCTCCTCCTCTTCCTCCTCCTCCTCCTCCTCCTCCTCCTCCGCCTCTTCCTCCTCCCTGGTGGCGTCTTGGAGGTATCTTCGAACGGTTTGGTGGGCTCTTGGGCCTTGCGGGCGGGCGGGCGGCGCTCCGCCCGCCCGCGCGCAGGGCCCAAGAGGAGAGTCCAAGACGTCTCTTGGAGCCATTTAGGAGGAGATCGATCAACGAAGGAGGGTCCCTCAACTTGGCTCGCCCCCCAGGAGCTCCAAAAATCGTCTCCTGGACCCCTCTTGGATCGCTCTTGGAGCGCTCGTGGCCGCTCTTGGAGCCGTCCTGGGCGCTCTGGGGGGGCATCTTGGAGCAAATGCATCAAAGAAGAGCAGAGCTTTAATTAGCACTGGCCCTCCAGACTGTCTAAAATCGCTTCCTGGACCCCTCTTGGATCGCTCTTGGAGCGCTCTTGGACGCTGTTGAGGCAGTTTTGAGGCTCTCTTGGGCCCCTGTTGGGGCCCAGTTGGGACATCTTGGCGCCATCTTGAGGCCTCGGATGGGCTTCGGAAGCGAAAAAGTGAGAACACCAAAAACATTGATTGTCCCTTGGGTTTTGAAGCATCTCGGCCTTTTGAGGGCACTCTAATGATGCTCTTGTGGGCACTTGGAACCATCTTGGAGCGGTCTTGGAACGTGTTGGAGCGTCTTCTGAACCATCTTCAGGCATCTTGCGCTATCTTGAGCCATCTTGGAGGCGATCTTGGGCTCTCTGAGGCCCTCTTGGAGCCGTCCTGGGCCATCTTGGACGCTCTGACCGCTCCCCGCCCCTCCTGTCCAGGTCAGTGGGGAGGGGGTAGGGGGAGGGGTAAACCCCTCCCCGAAGGGGAAGAGGGAGGGGTGGAAGAGGAAACGCCCTAAACCACCGACGCCCAGAGGGCTGGTGGGATTCAACAAATACGCCCCACCCACCCCTCCTGGGGGTCCCACACCTTCCCGGAACATCTGCGGAACGCTCCCGGTACCGCGCGTTCCGGCCCCGGAGGACTCCCAAAACGCCCAAGGACAGCCCAAGACGACCCCAAGAATATTCCAGAACGTAAAAGAATAGCCCAAGACGCTCCCAAGCAACCCAAGATAGCGTTCGGTCGGCTTTCAAGGCTCCCAGAAAGCCTCCAAGAGACCTCAAAGACCGAGGAACTTGAACAAAAAAGGGATTCCAGATATTCCCTTTTTGTTCCAAGTTGGGACTCCTCCCTATCCTCTTCCTCGAGCCCCATCAAGACTTCGGGGTCCCAAGCAAAGATTTGTCGGAAATGCTGCTGATCTCTCTAATGCTGTCGTGGCACTTTCTTGGATCTTATACGTGTCCTCTTGGCTGCCCCTGAAACCACTGTAGAAATCAAGATCCCATGATCCCATGAGTTGGAACATGGAATTTCATAATTCCTTTTTTTCAAACTCACCCCATGCTTATTTTGCACGAAGACCACGAGAGGCATCCGAACAGACCGTGGCCTGCATCCAGAAACTTCTAACCCACAGCCCAGGCACGGCAACTTGAAAAAAGGGGAATCCCACAAAACCTTTTCTTTCAAGTTCGCCCCCCCTGTCTACTCTTGCACAGCAGACCACAATTAAGGCCCCCTCAGCTCCCAGAAAAGAACCCGGGACGTCTCTGAGGGCCCCAAATCGTTGAACACCGAACGGGAATTAGTGATTTTTGCGTTTCCGCATTTCCCTTTGTATACGATTCCGAGGCTTGCGCAGGGCCTCCCAGAGAGTCCCTGGATGCAATAAACTACCAACATTAGATTCCATGAGTTAGCCCATCAAGTTCTAGCTAGGCTTGATAGGCTAACTCATGTAATATCATGTTGGTCGCTTCTTGCGTCCAGGGACTCCCTTGGAGGCTCTACGCAAGCCTGGGAATCGTATAGAAGGGGAAGTGCGGAAACACAGAAATCATTAATTCCCGTTTTAGGTGTTCAACGATTTGGGGGCCCCAAAGACTTCCTGGGCTCTTTTTTGTGAGGTGAAGGGGATCTGAATTGCGGTCTGTTGTGCAAGAGTAGACCGGGGGCCAAACTTGGAAAATTCGAATTTTCAAGAATAAGGAATTGTAGGATTTCCATTTTCTCACTTCCTCGGCGCTGTTCGGCGCTGCTTTTTGTTTGTGCCTCGCGGGTTTTGTTAGCCGGGCCCCTCAGGGGTGTAGGATCTTCTGGACCCCTGGGGGTTCTGGAGGCCTCCTGGAGGCCTGGAGAGCCGTCGTTTTTACGTTCTTTACGTTCTGGGGGCTCCTTAGTGTCGTCTTGGGCTGTCCTTGGGCGTCTTGGGGGCCCCCTGGGAAGCCGGGAGGCGCGGTACCAGGCAGATGTCAGGGGATGTGTGGGATCTCCGAGCAGGAGTCCATTTTGAAAAAAAGGGAATTCTTGGATTTTTGTTTGTAAATCCTCGATCTTCGAGGGTTGGAAGCGGGAAAACGGGAGAAGGCGAAAAGCATGTTAGACAAATCATTGGAAATCAACGATTTTACCATCTTTGGGCTCTCTCGCGACGGCTCTCGCAGCTCTCCTGGGCTGTTCTTGGAGTCTCGTCGGGATCTTTGTGGGGCCTCTCAGGGATCGGGGGTGTGTTGGGGGCCTCGGGGGGTCCCGGAGGCCTGTTGGAGGTCTCTGGAAGCCTCCTGCTCCCGCTCTTGGGCTCATCTTGGGCCTGTTCTGCGGTGGTCTGGGGCTGTCTTGGGCGCCTCTTCGGCAGTATTGGAGCCGTCTTGGCCCGTCGTGGGGCTGTCCTGAGGGTCTCTTGGGTGGTCTTGGGGCGGTCTTGGACGGATCTTCGGCGTTCTCGGAGCGTTGGAAGATCGAAAACGCGAGAAGCCAAAAACACGGAAACAAAACAATGAACATCTACGATTTTGGCCTCTTCGGGCCGTCCTGGGACGCCTCTCGGACCTTTCTTGGGGTCTCTTGGAGGCCACCTGGGAGCCTCGAGAGCCGTCGGAGGGCTGACTTGGGCTGCTTGGGAGCGTCTTGGGCCATCCTTTCGCATTCTCGGGGCTCCTGGGCGGCGTCTTGGGCCCTCCTGGAGCGCTGTGGAGGCTCCCCGGAAAGGCTGGGGGAGCGGTTCCAGAAGCGTTCCCGCGATGTTCCGGGGAGGTGTGGGACCCGGGGCCCAGGGGGGCCGTATTTATTGTTTGGTTTATTTATTTGTTTATCATTATACATATATATATATATATATATATATGTATATATATGAATAAATAAATAGCCCCCTCCCCCCCCGGCCTGGGCCGGCCCAGCCCGCAACAATTTTCATACGCTCGCTGAAACCCCCCCGTTTCGCTCTCCAGAGGCGGCCCGGAGAGGCCAAGAGGGTGCCAAAACGAGCCAAGAGGGTTCCCCCAAGACGGCGCAAGAAGGCCTCGAGTTGCCCAACACGGCCCAAAAAGGCTCCAAGACGCTCCAAGAAGGAGGCTCCCAGAGCACTCCCAAGAGGGCCTCAAGAGGCCGAAATCATTCAATTCCTATGGGAAAGCTTACATGTTTAGCATGTGCGCCTTTGCAGCTTTCACGGCTGTGAACACGGTCCAAAAGGCTCCCAAGACTCCCCCAAGACGGCCTTGGAGGATCCCATGAGGCCCCCAAGGCGGACCAAGAGGGCGCCTAGGCGGCCCAAGAGGCGCCCAAAATGGCCCAAGTTGACCCCAAGGCGGCGCCCAAGACGGTCCAAGAAGGCCCAGAGTCGCCCAAGACGGTCCAAGATGGCCCCGAGACGGTCCTAGAAGGTTCCG